CCCTGCACCCCTTGCAAGGCCCTTTTCTCAAGCCTCAACCTGGCGCTTGAGGGAGATGAGCTGGGCATCCAGGCCACGAAGTGTGAGGTTGGCAAGGTCCGGGCTGCCGGACACAGCAGTGAGGCCCTCGGGACTCAGGTACATGCCCTTGGGTGGGCGGCGCCGTGTCCGCAGGGGGTGGTGGCGGTACTGGGAAGCCTGGACCTCCTTCTTCCCAGGGCCCGGGCGGGCATTCAGCGGCCGAGAGGGCAGAGGCTGCAGGGAGAGAGGAGAGGAGAGGAGGGGAGGGGGATGGTGCTGAGGTGAAGGGGGGAGGGCAGGCAGGGCCAGATGGGCTGTGGGACCTCACCTCTCTCTTGAGGTGTCCAGCTTCTGGCTCTCCCTCACCCACTGCTCCCCGGGCCTCGTCAGGTTCATCGCTGCCGACACAGGAGTCGAGGGGGGAAATGAGGCTGGAGCCTGGGCCCAACGCCCAACTCTTGTCTGTGCCCCCGCACTCAGACTCAGACCCCCACCTGTCTTCTTTGTCTTTGCGGCCCCCCAGTCGCCGGGCCTGCCTGTCCATGACACTGGTCCGGCTTCGGGTTTTCTTCCAGGAGTAGTAATACTTCACCAGGCTGGGGATCAGCTTGTCAGGCAGCTGGGGCGGGGGGCAACAACAGCAGCGGTTGAGGACCCTTCCAACCCCCCAACCCCCCCCACCAGGCCCCTGACACACACACACACACACACACACACACACTCTCTCTCTCTCTCTCTCTCTCTCTCTCCATCACTGGGGCAGCAGCAGAGGGGATTTACCATCTGCTGGATCCTCTGGAAGCATTTGCCGTGGAAGCCAAAGGCCTGTTCAAACAGCACCTTGTCCTCCACAGTCCACTCGTCGGGAAATGGGGTGAAGTTGGCCAGGTCGGCCAGCGACTTCTCCACGTCATGCTTGTGCCACAGCAGCATGCCCAGCGCCTGCACCAGGACATAGGCAGCTCAGCCCGACCGTCCCAGAGGTCCCCGCCCCAGGCCCGCCTCGGCCGGGCCTCACCTGCTCTATGTTGTACCCGTGCTTCTCCTTGGCCATGGCGATGTACTTGTCAACTGCAGGGGCGGGAGGGAGGGAGTCTTGGAGGCGGAAGTTAAGGACAGCCCTTGCTCAAGAGTGGGGTCCCCCAGCTCCAGGGGAGGGGCAGAAGAAGCCACAGCGCTCTGCCTTCAACCCCTTTCTGAGCAAAGCTGGCCAATGACTGGCACCAGCCCAGCAAGCCACCCAGCTCAGGGCTCCACCCACTTACGCTTGGCATCTGACACACAGTGGTTGGGAGACCACACCAGCATGCCCTTCAGCTCCTTGTTGCTGTAGCGAGCCGGGCTCTCTGGAAGGTGGAAAGCAGAGGCGGGCAGGTCAGCCTGGGACACCAGTGCAGGCAGGAGTGGGGCCTTGGAGGTGAGGCTCAGAAGGGAAGGAGGGCCAGAGACAGCAGCAGACAGGCGGGCAGAGTGAGAAAGCAAAGCCCTGCCGCAGGGCCGGGCCACCCCAGTCGGCCTGCCCGTCCTGCCATGGGAGCAGGCCAGGGTTCCCCAGGTGGGGCTCCCCGCTCCCCTCCCTCCTCTTTCTCCCCCTCCCAGCCCGCCCTGCCACTCACCGGGCTTGCACTCCGGAATCACAGCCTGGTAATTGGTTCCGACACGGATCATGCTGTCTGTGGAGCCGGTGGGGAAGTGGTTGGCCCAGCGCCCCCCTTCCCTGACCACCCAGGACTCCCACCTTCCACTGGGCTCACTCTTTCCTAACCTTCCCCTGTGGCCACAGGAGCCGAGAGTGGGGGGTGGGTGCAGAGTAAGGTGACAGTGTCAGAGCCCAGGCCAAGCAGAGCCCTTTGTTCTGGCTGGGGGTGGGGGGCTGCCCCCAGACCTGGGCCACAGCCCTTCAGGGCACCCAAGGCTCCGCCCCCCTCCATGAGCCTCCCAGCTCCCTGGGGGGACAATCTTGCAGCCCCTGCTTCCTAAGACCTCAGGGCCCTGCAAAGTAGCACGTTTTAAGGAGCCCAGTATGAAGCTGGGAAGGGTGCCTCCTGGGAGTCCCTTCTGGTCCAGGGAGCAGTCGCAGGGCTGAGGGCTTGGCACCGGCGGGCACCGCTAGGGCCCAGGCTGCAGACTCCCTGTGCTGGCGGCCCCAGGCTTAGGGGAGCTACCAGGCAGAAGCCTCATCCAGGGCATGGGACCTGGAGCCATCAACAGAAAAAACGCGAGGTCGGAATCTCCAACCCCACTAGCCACACCGTCACCGCCGCGTCCCCCAGGTCACCGGCCTCACCGTGCGAGTGCTCCTCGTCGCTGCTGTCATCCTCCGAGTGGGGCTGGCCGCCGTTGGGCGCCGTCTTAGCCCGGCTGCGGGACAGGATCCCGGAGCCCACGCTCGGCTTCTCCATCACCGAGGGCATTACTCCGCCCAGCTGCCCCGGGGGCCGAGGGAGCCTACGGAGGGCGCCGGCGCTCGCCGCGCTCGCCCCGAGTGCCGTGCCCGGCCCGGCCTGGAGAGGTCGCCACTGAGGCAGCGAGAGGCAGGAGGTTAGCGTGGCTGGGGTCCGGCGGGGCGGGCGCCCAGTGGGCACCCCCAGCTCTCTCCGCGACCCCCACGGGCAAGGACGTCAAAAAAGTTTGTGCAGAAGTGGGGTGCGCGGGGGACCAGCGCAGGGTCGCAGGCGGCTGGGGCGCACTCGATCGGTCTGCCCCGCGGGCTAGGGGCACCCGCCGAGAAGTCGGGCGCCCT